AGCTTTTGCAAGCAGCATCAGTGAAAGAGTACCCCTAGAATTTCCATAAAACCGATAACAGTAAGTACCTTTAGTAAAGTAAAGTGTCTATTTCTACCCTAGATCTACTATTGGCCTTTTGATTTTTATTTTGAGTTTTGAAAATAATTTCTCGATTCCGAGTACATAATTATGGACGTTTTTAGCTCATTCTGAGTTTTTTTTTTTGAAAGGTATTTCATGATTCCGCGTATTCAATATTTCCATTTCGTTGCGAGTTCTTGCGAGTTCTTGCGAGTTCTTGCGAGTTCTTGCGAGTTCTTGCGAATATTATAGGTCTTCTGCCATTTCCTTCGCGTTATAAAAAAAAATAATTTCACGGTTTCGTGATTATTATAGACCGTTCGCCTTTTGAAATGGAAAAATATGCTTTTTATCTCGTTCTTCTCTCCAGATGGATCTAGCGAAGTTGAACCAATCGTCCCTGGTGGAAAGAAAACCAGTACAGAAACTCACAGATCTGACAATTGGAAAACCACACGCAATCAAAGCAGCCAAAGTAGTGGACGACAGATTCGGCACGTCGGTTCTGTTGGAGTTGGAGGAGTCGGTGGTATTCCTGCCGAATAGGGTGATGGGGGTATATTTACCCCACATTGGCGAATTCACACCTGAAACGTTCTCCCTTATATTCCGAGGGGAGGTCCCAACTGGAAAATCACATCCGGCGGCTTTGTTTGAGATTGTTCAGACTTCTTGAGAGTGAGTAATATTTTTTATTTTATTTTTTCGAATATATTTTCAACACACCACAATCATAATGGAAAATTTCAAACGAACTTTGACCAAAATTGATGAGACCCTCTTGTTCATTAGAAATAACCAGTCAAAATATATAGCCTCATTTGCCCTCGAATCTATCGATTCACATATCAGAAAATGCATTTCAGCCATGAAAAAAATTTCATTTTCAATTGGACAACGAAGAAAAATTCAAACTAAAATAGGCGAGCTCAAACGAATGAGATTCTTTATCAGAACATCAAATAAACAACATAATTATCGTCGTCATGTCGGCTCAGGTTTGAGAAAACAGACAGTTCGATGGATAAACGTAAATTCTGCATTCAAATCGAGAATTCAAACAGGGCTTATTATCAATTTGAATCATAAGGAAATCATAGACTTTCTGGCAGACTGCTTCAAATCATTCGAGAAGAAAATTTCGAAAATTTTGGGTAACTTCTCCATGTTGAAAATTAATTTCACATTTTGTGGCGATTTCGTTAAAACATCTAATGATGTGGAAATGGTTGATCGCAAATATTTTAACACACCTAATGGCATTGTGGATGTAGGAACGAGTTTGGAGGAGTGGTTCAAAATTAATTGTATCGATGTAGTGCTTAATAAATTAAGCGAATTCGCTGAAAAAAATAGCGGGTGGGCTTTGAGGGAGATAATTTCTTTGGAAGTAGCGACCAATAAATATGAAATGGGGAACGGCTCATCCTACATCCAATTACCTATAGAAATTGAGAGGAAGCATGCTTGCATTAACATAAGAAATAATGATAAGGCATGCTTCTACTGAAGCGTAGTCAGCGCTTTATATCCGATAGCGAAAAACACCCAAAGATTATCAAATTATCCGCATTATTCTACAGTTTTGGATACAAATGGCTTAGATATTCCAATTAAACTATCTCAGATTGTAAAATTTGAAAAACTGAATGATATTTCCATCAATGTTTATGGTTTGGAGTTGAATATAATCAATGATAAAGAATTTCATTCAGTGGTACCTATCAGATTGACCAAGCATAAATTGGATAGACATGTTAATTTATTATTGATGCAAGATGAATATTTTTCAAAATTGAATGATTATGAGGCACCTCTCGTTCATGATGAAGATATTCCAATCAATTTCCACTACTGTTGGATAAAGAACTTATCACGTTTGATATCCAACCAAGTTAACAAACGAAATCATAAAAAACTCATCTGCGACAGATGTCTCAATTATTTTCCTTCTCAGGAGAAGCTTGATAGTCATGCAGCCTTATGCGAAAAAATCAACAACGAAAAAATTTCTTTTCCAAATTATGATTCTGTTGAATTTAGGAACCATGTATACAAACAAACTTGTCCATTCATAATTTATGCTGACTTTGAATCACAGTTGGAGAAATGTAATTCGAAAATTTCCAAAATAACTTTGAAATACCAACATCATAAGACATATAGTGCTGGATATTATTTGAAATGTTCCTATGATGACTCACTTTCATTTTATGAGGGCTATCGAGGTGAGGATTGCATGGGTTGGTTCGCGAAAGAAATGTCAGATGTTGCCAAATTTGTTCAATCAAAAATAAAAAATATAGTTCCAATGATAGTGAAGCCTGGCAACACCAGTGGCGTCGCAACTGATGTTTGCCATATTTGTGAGAAAAAGTTCACTGATAAAGACATTGTCGTACGTGACCACGACCATTTTTCTGGTCAGTTTAGAGGCCTTGCCCACCAAGCTCCATGCAACCTCAAATTTAGAAAACTGTTCGTTGTACCGATAGCATTTCATAACCTATCAGGATATGATTCCAATTTCATAATTCGGGACATTTCCAAACGTGGAAGTGTGAGTGTGCTTCCAGTCAACATGGAAAAATATATATCTTTCACCCAACATGATTCGGAAACTAGCATAAAAAACCATGAACATTGAGGATTTGGAAATTTTGAAAAAAGAATTTCACAATGTAAATGAAAGTCAATTCAAGTTGCTCACAAGAAAAGGTGTTTTTCCCTATGATTATATTGATAGTTCACACAAATTGAATGACAGTAAGTTACCTACTATTAAAAATTTTTACAATCGATTGAATGACATTGATATTTCTGATGATGACTACACTCACGCTCAAAACGTTTGGGAGGCTTTCGAAATAAAGACGCTGGGAGAATATAGTGATTTGTATATGCGAACCGATATTCTTCTTCTCGCCGATATTATGGAAAAGTTTAGAGAATCATCCTTTAAAACATACTCTCTCGACCCAGCTTGGTATTACACCATGCCGGGATATACGTGGGATTGTATGCTCAAGTATACGAAGTGTAAATTAGAAATTCTCAAGGACATAGACATGGTGATGTTTATTGAAAAATCAATAAGAGGGGGGATATCGGTTTGCTGCAATAGATACAGCGAGGCAAACAATAAATATCAAAACACTTATGATTCCAATAAACCATCGAAATATTTACTTCATCTCGACGTGAATAATTTGTATGGTGAAGCTATGAGTGAACCGCTCCCCTATGGAGGTTTCACTTGGGTTGATGATACCAACATTGACGTCACCCAAATTGCCGATGATGCTGATGAAGGCTACATTCTCCAAGTAGATTTGGAGTATCCTGAGGAGTTACATGACTTGCATAAAGACTTTCCATTCTGTCCCGAACATCGCACTCCGCCAAATTCCAAATTATCAAAATTAATGGCAACACTTCACAACAAAAAAGAATACACCCTACATTACAGAAACTTGAAGCTTCATACTTTGGTCGCCATTACCTCCACCACTAACTAAAAAAGTGCTAGACAATTATGCAAAATTTAAATGGTCGAAAATTCATCGCGAATTGCTCTCTTACAGTGACGATATTTTGATAGATTTTCCTGAGTATTGTAGGGAACTTGACTTACCTCTCGATGTTAGGAAAGCGTTATTAGATGCAGATAATTTAGAACCATTTCGTGATAGGGATTGCTATTGCACATTGGAAAAGTATTATAAACTTGAAGAGTTCAATTTGATAGTATGTAAAAGATGTCTGAAATTGCTAACAATATTATTGGCAGATTTTCATAGTAAAAAATTAAATTTCACCGCGAATATTGAGCATGAAATCGTTGCCAGTTATGAATTACATTCTTTATTTCAAGACAAGTCCAACTGGTGTCAAATTGACTTTCATAACGTGGTATTCAAATTGAGAGATCGTGACGAATGCTATCATGATCTCCATAAACACAAGAAAGTCAAAATTTGTTGAATATGAAATATTAGGTTACTGTGGATGGAGATAGGAGATAATGTTGAAGTTTGTATTATATAGGTTTTAGTTTATTATTGTGGTGTTTGATTATATTTTCTATAAAAATAAATAAAAAATATTACTAGGATGGAAGGGGAAATATTGTACATATTATTGTTATGGGGAAAATGTATATTATGCTTCTTGTGAAAATTGTGGTGGAAAATGTTAACTTTGTATATGTAATTGTGATAGGAAATAAAAAAAATATATTCCAGAAAATCTCTGCGTTTTATTCATTACATAAATATTCTCCATTACATGAGTCAATTCTGAGAATGGTGATAAAATATATATTCACGTAAAGCAGTGGCATAAATGCTTTCTGGAGGTGATACTTCACAAAGTCCATTGATGATTTCTGCAAGCGTCAAAGTAGTTTTATTTCCATACAACCATGAATTGGCAATGTTAAAAACATTGAGGTAATAATCGTTGAAGTTAAGAGCATTCAACATGGCAAGCCGATCGGAAACCACACCCTTGTGTGTTTGCAGGATTTGCATGACATCATCTCCAGTCATTGTCATATCAATAGTACCATTGGAAATGAAAATTTGTTTCACTCCACAGCTCATGAATTGGAAAAGTTCCACACAGTCCCCACAATTTATTCTCACAGGATTGTACCCATCTGGATGCATGCTGCTGCTGCTGTTGTTCCCAACATCTTTGAAGAACGATTGCTCGATTTCAATCAATATTTCGATGAGAGATGCCCACTCAAACGTGCTGAATGATATTTGTTTGGGTGAAAATGTTTGTTTCAGAATCACACAAGCAGTGTAGTCTCTTGAAGGACTCAGACCACATCGAATGTCGAAGCAGGGTGTGGGAAACACCATCAACAGAAGGGGATGTTCACTTTGAACATCGAATTTGTAGCACAGCATCTTATTAGTAGTACTCACATCGAATTCTTGCTGGGCTGCATTCTCGTACCTGTTCAAGGCGTGATCGATGGCCTCGAGAGTCTTTTTATAATCATCACTACTATTACTGCTATCACCATCATCAAACTCTATGTCAACACTACTGATGCTGCTGCAATTGCTGATATATTTACTATTAGGAGGCATTTCGAACTCTCTACTGAAATGTCGTTCAGACTCATGGGCATATTTATAGTTGAAAATCACGTGATGTGTTTTTTCAGTTTGAAATGTGGTTGACAAACATACAAACACACACACACAACAACAATGAAAGGCCCTATGGAACGTGTGGAACTGTTCGTCTTTTCCATTAAATCCTATACTAAATCGATGTTTTCGATCCAGCTGTTGTGTTTGTTGTCTAAACCCAACCATTTCACATACATTTTTTCCCCTTCTTCCTCAGCACCTTTTCAACCAGATAGATGTTGGGGCTTGCAGTTTTCTGCAACTCTTCTTCATAGAAAGCACCACTAATTGGCGAACCTTGCATGTCCTCCAACATGTATGTGGCGGGATTGGTTATTTTGCATTTGATGATTTTGAATAGTTCAGTAGTCCAATTTGGGGTGTATCCTTTTTCGAACACATGCTTAGCTTTGCTTATGCGAACAATGTCACCGAGTTTGAGTTTTCGCGGGCCAGCAATTTTCAAGTGAGTGAACGATCTTTTCAGAATTTGCTTCTCGTTGGATTTGTTGACTTCAGATGGTTTGCAACCGATTTTACTGTGACGTGTATTATTGTAAGTTGCTGTAATGGTAGGTAATACGTCTATCCATTTGTAGGAGCCGTTCAAGCTGTAGTATTTGAATAATTTCTCCTTCAATGTCCTGATTACACGTTCCGCTATAGCTGCTTTCTTGATGGTGTACGTACTAAAATGATTGATGTTGTACGTTTTGAGCAGACTGCGAAATTTGCTATTGTGAAATTCGGTTCCTTGATCTGTTTGCAAATTTTTTGGACAACGTTTTGTATGCGTCAAAATATCTGCAAACGTTTTTGTTATTTCCTCGCCAGTTTTCGTTTTCAATGGACGAGTCCAAACGTATTTGGAAAAACAATCAATCACAACCATAATTAGTTTGAAATTTCGATTCCGATGTGTTGCATACTGACGCATTTCAGCTAGATCCATTTGCCATGAATCATCTATGCCTTTAATGATAGTTCGTCGATGTGGGTAGTTTTTTCGGGCAGGTTCATGTAACTCGTTGACAAGTTCGATTTTTTCCCGAGATTGTGACATACTATCATAGTTTATTTATATATGGGGAGGATGGGAGGTAGGGAGGTAATTGAATGACACAGTTGAAGGCAAACATTGTATTTATGTATTTTTCATAGACACTACTTGTCTTGATAATGGTGGTTTCGAATCAACGGTCTGATACACGTTCTTTGCGAGGTCATCTCTGATCTGAGCAACGTTATCAGCCAGCTGAATCACTGTCTGATGACTTTGTTGCTGCTCATTCTCTAGAGTACTTATACTTTTAGTATTATCTTCGAGTAATTTCAAAACATCTGCTATGCCCTTTGCATTCGAGTTCACATCTTTTTCCAGTTTGGGCAACGATTCTTTGAGAAAATGTGTCATTTGCATAGCTCTATTCTCCAGCTTGGTGGTCAACTCCACCAACTGGGTATTCTGAGAATTATTCACTTTTGTGAATTTGTCATCAACTCCTTTGAAATACACATCAGTTGCACTCTTGAAATCTGTCTGGATTCGCGCTAGGGACTGTTTCATGTTATTTTTTATCTGGTCCACGTATTCCTTGTTTGCAGCATCCTTTCTCAAAATAGGTGTTTTGACATTGCACAAATTCAAATTACCGAAATCTATATCGCCTTCAGGAGTATGTGCTAAGCCGCCATCACCTGATGCAATCACCACCAGTTTTCGTTTTCTATCCGAACTACGTCCGAACTTATCGATTGTCATCTTTGAAATGACTGATATTTCATAAACTTATATCTATTGTATAATGTTTGCCTCCTTCAGTTCAGAAATAATGGATTCAATCTCATTGTCGAGGGAAGTATTTCCAGCCTGCTTTGATGCTATGAGCAATCTCAAACGTTCACACAACTCATTGGGGTCATCCCAATAGATGTATTCCACAGGCTTGGTATTGTACGTAATCATCATGGGTTCTCTGTTCTTGATATTGCGGTGAATCTTCAAGCCCCGCCCCGTTGTACCACGTCGTGTTCTTGCTTGCGAAGCTGCGGCTGCTGCTGATGGTGGTGGCGGCAGAAACAAAGGTCTAACGATTTCCCTGTACTTGAATCGTGGACTGTGTTTGATCTTCCGATTTACATTCAGATGGGCCTTTGATAGTTCCAAAATTTGTTCGTACCCATACAGATCATCTTTATTGTAATTTTCAGGGACATCGTAGAATATCAGCTCATATATACCAGGAGATCCTTTCACTTGTTTTCCATCAATTTTGATGTAGCCAGTACGTGCATCAAAATCGATTTCTTTGTAGCCGAGCCTCCATTTTGAATTGCTCGAATCATATATAGGACCATATTTCTTGTCTATTTTATTGCTGTTTGTCCAATGTTCTTTCATGAATGGAATAATCATTGGAGGATATTGTTCCAGATATGCCTCAATAGCTGCAGGATCGAAGCTCTCCACATCACCTTCTTCTTCTCCTTCATCTCCCTCGAACACTTCATCACCAAAACTTTCACCACTCGTACTAGCAACACGTTCAAGTTTCTGAAAAGGTAGCCCATAAGCTTCTTCTTCTTCTCCTTCCTCTTCCTTTTCAACTTTCTCTTCCTTTTTCGGTAGTAGAGGTTCATTTTTGATGACTGTGTTGTGTAATGAAGTGTTTGCTGCTATTATTTCCTTTAGTGGTGCAGATACAGGATTGAAGAATTTCTGCAACGTTTCATCCTCCTCTGATTTGCCCAATTTCAGAGCCAGATATTTCTTTTTTATATCCTTGGCTATTTCATTGATTTTATTTTTGCGAACGATATCGACCTCTTTGCTGAGTGGTTTCATGTTGACAAATAGGCGTTATCACATCGGGTTTATACTTTTATGAACTTGTCGAAGCCTTGACGATAGCGACCTGCGTTCAGATCGTGATCCTTAACAATAACCATTGCACCATATTTTTCATTCCAACAATCTGCACAAGTTCGCTTGAATTGATCGAATGTCATGTCGGGCGAGACGTGTTCATCAAACACATGCTTCAAAATCACCTCATCCTGTTTGAAGAGCACCACTAGGTTGGTGTTGTCGCGCAACATTTGCTCGGGGGCTTTACTGTACGTCTGTCCTATGTATATGGCATCGATACCTCGATGACGGCACATGGAATAATACTCTTGAATTTTCTGTTGTGAATCGCACGATATGTCATCGAAAATAAAAATGGAATTTGGTTTGGCTTCATTGGCACCCATAATTTCCTCATTAGCTTTAAATGGAAAATATCCAACACCTTTGACCATTCTCAGTATCTTTTCAAGCAACTGGTATTTGGGTTGGTACAGTGACTTTGAGTACACGTATACGTTTTCGAATTTGGCGCCATTGGGGTGAAACAACAATGACAGTGCAGCATTTGTTTTTCTACATCCACTTGGGCCACAAATGATGGCGCGGAATGAGTGTGGTAACAGGACGCCATGTTTACCTCGATCGATTCCGCTACTGCTGTCATTCAAGTAGTCCAAGTTTTCGATTGGTAGCGTCTTTTTCTGTTGAACGACTCTCATGATGTGTGACAATTCACAGAGCATTGAGGGCTTTTATTAATGGAGGTGAATTCCAACATCAGTGCTCATTCTTTATGTTGATCTACCGCGGTGAAGGTATAGTCAATACACTCATCAATAAACTACCATTCGAATTACATCTTCCTGGTTATTCGTATTGCGGTCCAGGAACCAAATTACAAGAACGACTAGAACGTGGAGATATAGGCATAAACCCCTTGGACGAAGCCTGTAAAGAGCACGATATAGCCTACTCTCAGAACAACACTTTGGAAGAACGTCATAAGGCTGATCGAGTGCTGGAAAATAGAGCTTGGGGACGTGTCAAATCGGAAGACGCGAAAATTGGTGAAAAAGCTGCTGCTTGGCTCGTCACCACCGGTATGAAGACAAAACGAAAACTTGGCATGGGGGTGTCGAAGCAGCAGCAGCACCCATTCTCCAAGATCGTGAAAAATGTGCTGAATGCTCTGAAAAAAAATTTGACAGCAACGCTGACGGTGGTAGTCATCAAGGTAGTGGTTTAAGTAGATCATCTGCAGCAGCTTTGCGTGCAGCCCATAAGGCAATAAAAAAAGTTGGAGGTCGTAAAAAAATTCGAATTCCCAGAATAATACCACTGCCTGCCACAGGAAAAAGTGGTGGATTCCTACCATTGATACCACTATTTGCAGGCCTATCGGCTTTAGGATCGTTGGCTGGGGGAGCAAGCGCTATCGCAAAGACAGTAATCGATACCAAGAATGCGAGGAAAAAACTGGAAGAGGATAAACGTCACAATCAAGCTATGGAGCATCTGGGTTCCGGTGTGTATCTACGTGAAACACGTAAAGGATATGGACTGTATTTGAAAAAGAGAGGGGGTGGTGGTCGCGGCGGCGGAGGTGGCAGCTGTGGAGCTGGATTATTCTTGAAGAAACAAAAAAACTGATATCCAAGCTACCCAATAGAGCATTATATGATGGAGAGATTGTAAAATACGCCAAACAACTCAAAATACCATATTTTCGAGGAGTTTTCATGCGAGACACGCTACCTACCCGCTTATGGCGACGTCGTGAGTGTGCAGTCATGAATTTAGATTCCTCCATCAATCCTGGTACCCATTGGGTAGCTTATAAAAAACATGGGGATATTGTTCATTATTTCGATTCGTATGGTTGTCTGAAACCGCCGAAGGAATTAGTCGAATATTTCGGAAACAACGTGCAGATATTCTATAATAATGATGTATATCAGAAATACAATCAGATCAATTGCGGCCATTTATGTTAAGCATTTCTATTGAATTCGAAATTAAAATGATGAAAATGGAAACCAAACTATTTAAATTATACATACCTCTACACTGATCCATCAGTCATGTCTTTGATATTGACATTGAAGAGTCGTTCTTCGACGCTCTCTATCGATTTTTCACCTCCAATTCCATTGGATCTCGATTCTGAATATGGCTTAGCTCTACTCAGTTTCCATTCGTACAACAGCGTACCCAACATCGAGGAAGGTACAAAGTTCTATTATTTTGAAAACGGTGACAAAAAACGGAGAAAAAGTATCGATATTCCTACTGGAGCTCACGAAATTGAAGATATTGAGAAGCTGATCAGAAAACATGTTGAACCACCACCTGCATCGAAAAATATGATATCATTATCTCCATCGCAGAAGCCTGAAGATCTTTTCTATCTCAAACCGAATAATAATACTTTGAAGAGTGAAATTTTCTGCAAACATCATGTAATCGATTTCACTCAGAACAATAGTTTGGCCAACATATTGGGGTTTTCGTCGAGGATCTTGGAAAATGACATTCATCATGTGTCAGATCAGCCTGTGAATATTATAAAAGTTCGAACAATACATGTCGATAGCAACATTACCTCAGGGGCCTTCTACAACGACAGACCATCTCACACGATCTACGAATTTGCCATCGATGCTGACCCTGGTTACGCTATCGACGAAACACCGAATCACCTCATTTATTTACCCATCGCTGCCCATACAAACGAAATCTACAACATCACGCTCAGAGTGCTCGATCAAAACTTCCAACTGGTCAATTTCCGAAACGAAGAAGTCATCATTCGATTGGAACTGAAAAAATTATGGTCCTGAGTGTTTATAAGAGTCGCACCTCCGTTCCTGCTCCTTCAGTCTTCAAGAAGACATTCATCAACCACATTGCCCGCCGCCCACTCAGTACGCGGAATATAGCATTTCTCAAGTCACTCGGCTATCATGTTATCCTCTCAAGTGTTCAACATATTCCGAAAGCCTCACGTCGACGAATCCATACAAAAGGTCGAATGGAGAACATACTACCCTTACGTCAAGTCGTTCCGCAATAATGATGTCATAGAAATCAACATTAATCAGTCTGATGCTTTCGATGCTCTCTATGAAAGTATTTTGCACATTAGCGGAAAAGTAACGAGAACTGAAGGTGCTGGACATGTAGCTTTTGTCAATAATGCTGGTGCCTACATGTTTCAATCCATCAGTTATGATCAGAATGGCAAGGAATTGGAAGCAGTGCGCGATGTTGGAACTGTTAGCACCGTTAGAGGTTATTTGTGCTACAGTGCTGAAGATACGAAACAATTGGCTATAGCAGGTTGGACCTACCCCAATAACGTTGATGTCATAAATGCGACAAGTTTAGCATTCAGTATGTTTATTCCATTGAAGCATCTGCTGAATATTTTCAACGATTATGAGTGCGTCTCCTATGGTGAACATTCTATTCGTTTGGTGCGAGCTGGAAACGATAATAACTGCTTCAGAATCACCGAAACTGCTGTCGGCGCAGCTGTTGTGCCCACAAAAGTACAACTGGAAATTGAAAATGTGGAACTCAAAGTGAAAAGATTATTTCCAAACGATCAAATCAAACTACAACTCTTGAAGGCAATCAAAGCCGACACCCCCATCCTAATACCCTTCAGAAAATGGGAATTACATATGTTGCCTTCTCTTACGACAGGCGCCACCAATGAAATATGGGCGGTCAAAACTTCTTCGTTTCTCGAAAGCCCTCGATATGTCATTGTTCGCTTTCAAACAGGTCATGATCTGACTAAAGTCAATACTGATCCTACCATATTCAATCACGCAAACATAAC